TATATGTTGCAAATAAATTACTTAAGAAATAATTAGAACTGTTAGGAAACGGGTTGGTTTCTCCTTTTGGGTTTTTTCTTATTTGCCTGCTCCTTTCACCTTCATCCAATAGATGGCGACTAGAGGTTGCACCTGAAGGGGCATGTCTGTTGGCTCTATCTGCACCTGTTACTCATCATCTAATCATCCTGGAGCTAAAGTGGAAACAGACTGCCAGCACCTCATTGCCTGAGTGTTTGCCAGTTACAGTACTCTGAGTACCCATGGAGATAATCTCTGTAGACAAACTTTGATAGTAACTGACTCTTGTTAGTGATGGTACTGTAAGATGAGGACTCATGAGGCATTGAACCGTTTGGCCAAATTGCTTCAACAATCCCCACAGTTCATGAGGTTCCATGTGAACATGTCACCACCTACTGGTGGTGTGCATAACTACAGTTTGTAATAAAATCTGTGATTTTTTTTTGTAATTGTTTTTCTTTTTTTTTTCTTTTTTAAGTTCCTTTGAAATTGTTAATGGTTGGTGTGTATAATAAAATCTTTTCCAAGTTTTTTTTGTAAGTGTAAAATTTCTTAGAACAATCATTTAAGGTGCACTGTTTTCCTGCCATTTTAGTGAAATAATCTGGAACAGACAGTAAAAGTGCTTGTGCAAATTGGGCAATGATGAGCAAAATGAAACGTACCAAATAGATAATTTCTGTTGTCATGCGAAAAAATTATCTGCAACACATCTTATAGGAAGTTCAGCAGAATTAAGCTGAAGTTTACAATGATTCAATTTAATGTTCCAGTATTTCTGCTGTATTACTGACCGGTTGGCCAGTGTCTGCACTTCAGATCTCTTCTCTTTATAGATGGTCTTGTAGCCTTGAATGAAGGAGAGGTAGGACTTGGGGGTTACATGGGTGGAGCGCCGGTATCTAGGTTGAATAAGAAAAGCATTAGAATTATTTCATGATGCATTAGAGGGTAGCATGATAATTTACACAACTTCCTAATATTTTAATTTTACTATATAGAATCTCTCTCAAAATAGAATGCACAAATGAAAATCTAAATTGCTATATGGAAACATGACAAAAAAGTTTTGCTTTCTTGAAGCAATTATTTGGGAGAAAGTATTGGATATGCTGTCAACAAAGCATTGCAGCAACGCTGTACATTCTTATAAATACCAAGCTACACGAAAATACTAACCACCTTACATGTTTTCTCTGGTATAACACCTGAACGTTTCAAACCACAGTTGTTGTTTTTTTCTATCTAAGACAAAAAAGACTGTGTATAAGGCAGTGATTATGAATGTTTAAAGATCAACAGGAAATTATTTCTCAAATTTTACTCCGGATTTATGAAGATCTTAAAAGTTATACATGTGTCTTATTGGTCAACAAAACCATTTTCCAAATAGTTATGGGGATCATATACAAATTATGAAATAAAGTCTGCATGGCTGCCAACTTATCATCAAAGCTTGGAGTGAGATTTTGAAATAGCTTGGACAGGCAACCCTTGTCAGGGTTAGATCAAAAGGCTATGAGGATGGGTGCAGCTATAGGTTGTACGGGGAATTTTTTCAACACAGTAAATGTTACTGAATAGAAATAAATGATCTGTAGTTATGTGGAAAAATGTCCACACAATATACANTTTTTTTCTATCTAAGACAAAAAAGACTGTGTATAAGGCAGTGATTATGAATGTTTAAAGATCAACAGGAAATTATTTCTCAAATTTTACTCCGGATTTATGAAGATCTTAAAAGTTATACATGTGTCTTATTGGTCAACAAAACCATTTTCCAAATAGTTATGGGGATCATATACAAATTATGAAATAAAGTCTGCATGGCTGCCAACTTATCATCAAAGCTTGGAGTGAGATTTTGAAATAGCTTGGACAGGCAACCCTTGTCAGGGTTAGATCAAAAGGCTATGAGGATGGGTGCAGCTATAGGTTGTACGGGGAATTTTTTCAACACAGTAAATGTTACTGAATAGAAATAAATGATCTGTAGTTATGTGGAAAAATGTCCACACAATATACACTATTTTCTACATAGTGGTGATTTTTAGTAAATTGAAAAAAAGAAGAATGGGCCCAACTAAAATACTTGCATCTTTAATATACTGTAAAGTTAGAATTTCATAGCTGTGTTTGTTAATTATTCTACAAGTAAATAAAACAATAAAAAGGTATTACTGGATTACTGGCACTAATACAAGAACCAGTGCAATCGAATCCCGTGCAAACTACACTGTGTATGAATATTTGGTAATAGACTAAGGATTAAAAAGCTTCATTCATTTTGCTTTTTTTTTTTTTTTACAATTGACTGAAAAGCTAAACAATTTATATCTTCTAGGAGGCTGTAGATTCTATAAAAAAACTCACCCTGATCCAGGTCAGTATTTCTCTGGATGTTTCATTTTGGAAGGTGCAATGGAAATTATGTTTTAAAACATATTCATTGGACCACAATAAAGATAAATGAATAAGATAATTAATAATAAAATGAGAACATCCCGGTGGTTTCTCTTCTATCAATCCTTCTATAACTGAGTTGTTCTGCACATCCTGTCTGTCTTATGTGGTTGGTCTGTTCTTGGGTGGCTGATCTGTTAAAAAAAAATTTTTTTTTTGTGGACCTATGGGTCCTATGGGTTTGAGAGGCTTACCTGAAAGCTTTAAGAATTTAGAGATTTGTGTTGGTTTAATAATTCCTGAAATTATTCAACTAGACTGAGAAATACTTATTTAACTTGTGAGCAAAACATGGACTAAAACTGGGACTAAATCAGGTGGCTAACTAGAGCAAACAAGGATTAAAGCTCACCAAAAAAACAGCACTAGATGTAGAGAAAACAAACCATTTGATGCCAAATTGATGTTATCCTACACTCAGTCTCCATATTGACCATTTAAGCTAGCTGCTGTATATGTTATTTATATTTACTCAAATATTAGATTGCTTAAAATCTTCATTAATTTACAACTTTAAATATCTTATTCCAGATAAGAAATGATCAAAATCAAATGACATTCCTCATAATAGCTGCTCAGACATCCCAGCCTTTTTTCATATCTGGCAAAGCTGCTGTCAGCATGCT